TGTGCTTAAAACTAGTAAATGTTTCTTACGCATGTAAACTGTTGTCTTGCAGATTGGACATGTTTGTTGATGATTTACCAGTCGGAACAGAGAGACTGAGTAAGGGCAGTAAGGTGGAGATCAGTAGCCTCTATCTGGGTGGTGTCCCAGCTGACCTTGACATTGCTTCAGCATCAGCTACCAGCCAACCTTTGCAAGGATGTATTAGAGATTTGGTTCTGAATGGAAAGTAAGCAGTAGATGTAATCAAAATATACAAAAGTATTTTTACTGCTGTCCTGGAGGATTTTCCACAAAAGGATTCATTGTAAAAATTTTTTTTTAACATTGTGTTCAAATTGTGTTCAAAATTGAAAAAGATTTTTTTCATAGGTCTCACAAAGTTAAAATTCCATCTCTTTGCAGATTAGTTCAACTAGACCAACCTGTCTCATACCAGAGGGCAGATATTGGAAGATGTTCAGAAAACATATTCTCATTACCTCTCCCAAATGTAACCACAACAACATCAACAACTTCTGCAACAACAAAGCCAATCCCTATAAAAGATACAACTACAACAACTGTATCCACAACTACAACTATGAGTACAAGTACCACCACGATGTCCACTACAACAGCAGTAAGGAAAATATGATATTGTTTTTTAAAACACATTTATTGAAGTCATAGTTTGTGCTGTTGTTTAAAAAATAACCTGTCACTTTGTATTATTTACTGTATTGTTGTATTATTTACCCTTTGCTTCATATCCAAGTGCATACATACTCAAAGTGGGTATACAATGCATTTCATATTTGCCTATACAACCAGTCGTCTTTTTTCAAACATGATTACAATACAGTCGTATCGATATCATTTTAACATACAACATGCATGTTCATAAAGGACTGATATGATGGAAGTAACAATATTTCAGGAGCCAGAGGAGTGTGCCTATGAGCCAGAGCCAGAGATAGAACCTGAGGCAGCTGCATTTGGTGATGTGAGGAATAGTCACAGTGAGATACTGGTGGACAGAGATGAGATCAGCTCCAAGTAAATGTTTATGATTTTGTTTCACCTAGTTGGACAAAGAAACATATAGGCAATGTGCTTAAAAACCATTAGATATATATACAACAGATTATTGCATATATGTGCCTTCATTTTATCAGACTATCCATTTTCATTCCTTTTGGAGTTGGTCAGATCTTGTTCATAGTATCATTCTTCATCTCATAGGTGGGCAAACTGTACGTGTGTTTACAAGTGCTTTTCAAATATCACTGAATGTACTCTTATTTATCCTTTAGTTTTGACATCATGCTGGAGTTCCGCACCTACTATCCTAATGGGCTCCTGGTCTACCTTAGTAATGAAGACCAGTCAGAATATGTTGCCATCCAAATGGCTGGCGGCACTGTGATGACATCATATGCAGACCAGAAAACTGGTGTTCCAGTCAACTTGACAGAGGGAGCCACTGTACTGGTGGATGATGGGAAGTGGCACAAGGTAAAAGCATTAATAGAAAAGCTAAAATTCAGTTCCCAGTCCACTAATATGAAAAAATGACCAAAATTTTTCATTAAGAAACCTTAATTATTTACTCCTATTTTGTTTCTGACAGAACTGAATGGCTTGGTGATAAAGTGCATGTATCTATATGTCCATGAAGCCATGGTCAAATCAAAGACCATCATTATAGTTTGCACCAACTGTGATCTCCCTTTGTACTTGGCTTAAAAGATTACAGAAGTTAGTGGCAATGTATGAATGCTTAACCATGTGACAGTCTTACTGTTTGCTAGCCAAGAAGATGATAAAAACTCAAAGATTAAGTATATGGTAATGATGTATTATAATAAAAGTATGTGATTAAAGTAGTATTTAGTTGAATGTTAAAGATAGACAAATCCAAAGTAAAGACACTGATAAGACAAAATATTTTTCTATGTGTAGATTCGACTAATGAAGTCAGCAAATAACATAATCTTCAAAGTGGATGAAGGCCCAGACATTGTGGGGCGTATAGCAAACAAGATTGATGTGCTTGCTCCTATGTATGTTGGTGGATTGCCACGAGGATACAACATGAGGATGGGTCTGGTTAGTTTCAATTCCTTACCATGCACTTGAGCAAGCAAGAAAGAATTGAATACACAGATATTGATTTTATGATAGATACTGTTTGGTGGTAGATTACTGATGTCAATTTAATGTTCTAGGTTTGATCATATGTTTCAAATGTCACCATGACTAGACACTTTTTATGTATTAATTGTTTTTAGTAAATGCTATTTTCTCCATGTCATACATGTGACTGCCAAATTCATGGCAATATTTGTTAAGTTAATACAGTACCTTCAAAAACACTTAATGAAGCAATTTTCTGACATCTTCCTTCTAGGTTCCAGACAGTTTGAAGGGCTGTGTACGAGGGTTCCGCCTGAACAGCCAGAAGGTTGATCTCATCCAGAGCAAGGCTATCATGGGTGTTAGTACTTGTAACAAGTACTATGAGAAGGGGGTCTACTTCAGTGGTTATGCTTATGGTATATATGGTAAGGGATGCAAGTTCTCAATGCTTTATTATAATGTTTTAAAATATGAATGTAATTTTCTCTTGGGGCTAATAAATCTGAACTCAAATGTTACATCATAATATAGTATTATTACATAATGTGGTACCGCTGCACTATGCAATATGTCAACCTAAGATCCAACATAATGTAAGATCCTATTGTCAGCTGGTGTATTTGTGTTGTTTAAAAATATGAACTTAATGATATGATAACGTCAAAATCTATGAAATGTTACTGCATGAAATTATCATAGCATCCAGTTCAGAATGGTGTTTCTCCATTGCAGATTCTAACTTTGTGGTCGGTTCCAATTTTTTGCTGACCTTTGATTTCCGCACCACCAAGCCTGAGGGTGTAATCTTAACAATAAGTCATCCCTATAGACGACCCTCCATGGCACTGGAACTGTTTGATGGGCAGGTGAGTAGTATGCTCAAAATATTCATGGTCCGAGGCACTTAAATTTGTCAGAAATGAAGTGATAATAGGTCTGAGAGGGTTTTTTTACATAGGTTACAAAGCGTTTGGTGGTACACATAGATGTTTCCTGAATTGCTGTAATTGGTGTGATGGTTGGTCTTTTGATTTAGACTAACAGTGTCTCTTTGACTATAATCCTAAGCCTACATTGATGCATTGTTTTTATTATGTCAGTTATGTAAAATCTCAGCAATAGAAAAATCTTTTAAAACAAAGCATTTATGATTGAAAACATGTTAAATAATGTTTTATGTTATAATTTGTTCATTACAGAAATGTTTACTGATGTTAAGTTGTATTTCAGAAATTTACCCTCATGTTAAAGTACTGAAGTTATACTTATTCCAATTTGATATTCATTCCAGCTGCAATTTACAGTAAACAATGAGGATGGCTTAATCTTCTCTATGACTGAATATGAAAATCCATTCCGACTGTGCAATAATAAATGGCACACAGTAAGAGCAGAATTGGTTAAAAACACCATAATGCTAACTGTAGATGGGGTTGAACAGCTGTCAGAGACAGGGGGCTCAGAATTCCTAGCCACAGATCATCCTCTCTTTATTGGAGGCTACCCATGTAAGTATAGGTTTGCTTAAGTATTGAATAGAATTAAACTTTTCTAGTTTATTTCACTGTATTTCAGGCCTACAGGCCAAGAGTACATCAATTGAGTTCTATTTATAATAATACTGAGCTGACTACACAGGAGTATATATCATAAACGACACATATCACTTATCTAAAAAAACATTCTTAATTTCTCAGCATGATATCATGACATTGTGAAGATAAATTGTCATTATAGTCATAACTTGTAAATTCAATGATACCTGGACTCCATTTAACTTACCTAGCACTCCACACAGAAAGTATATGTAAACCTTTTTGAGCGGCCTATATGCATGATGCATTTGCAAGTGCATTCACACTTATACCGCAAACACACACATGCAGGTGGGCACAAGCACTTACATTCATGTGACTAATAACACAACTATACTTAATGAAAATTGTTGAGTCCAACATTTTGATTAGAAAATGAGTGACCTATGTATTTTCCCTCTCTCTCTTTCCCTAGATTATGCTGAACCACAGGGTGCAGCACAGGCAAATGAGAAATTCCAAGGCTGTATACGGAACATGAAGATTAATGGAGCTGAAGTGGACTGGTCAAGCAGTAAGGTCTTGACAGTGGATGTTAAAATTGGTTACTGTCCTGGTACCAAATAATAAATAGCTGTTTTTATAGGTTTCATTTTTTTTCACATTTAAATTATATTGATAATTCTGAGACCAGACTATATGGATTTGGATTTACAGCATAGACTGCAATAAATTCCGAAGATATCCTTTCAGTTTTATGATTAGTGTGAGATATTCAAAGGGTATGCATCATTTATTGTTTTTTTCAATTGAGAAGTACTGCTGCCTTTGCCAACAATTTTTTGTACAAGATGACTTTATGGTCAAGTTGTACATATTAATTGTGAGCATGATGGATATTTTAAGATGATCTAAGATTGCATTTACCATTCATTGAAAAAATATGAAAAAGTGCACCTTTAGTAAAATCTTTGGGAAAAATTATTAAATGGACAATGTAGTATCATGGTTCATCTTTTTTCATTTTTTTCATTAAAACTGTATGAAATGTCTTATATGGTGGATCTACCTCAATTGTTTAGGTTTCGAAGCTAAGCTGGGACCCTTTTTTTGTTTTCTGTCCTGCTTAAAGATATGGAAAGTATTTATATTATTGACAATAGACAGAGTTACTATAGTAGTTTTGTAATATTAAAGCAAGGTAATAATGCAATTGAAACTTGGCATTCTTTATGAGCATAGTTAAGTTATTGTCTTTGTTGTTTTATGTCAGATAGTTGTTGTCAGATGATTTTCCATATATCTATGTTAATGGCCAAGTCAGAACTATGTGAATGGTAGAATTAACCAAGAAATGAATGCGGGAGCTTTGCTTAGTTTTTTTTTTTTTTTTTTTTTTTTTTGCTTTTGACTTTTTCAAAGTTGAATGATCAAACAAAAAAGATTCTGAAACCAAAATCTCACACAGTTAGATTGTAATATTAGGTGATAGAAACTGTTATTTATATTGTTGAGCTGCATCACTGCCAAGCATTTCAATCTTATACTTTTTGACTATTAGAAACCTGTTTATTTTCATATATGTATGTATTATAGCTGTTAGATGCTATGTGCAGTTACAATCCTTTGATAACACTATTATAGTCTTGTGTAAGTGCTTCAGGTTTAGATATTATGTGAGCTTTTTGATTACAAATAATTCATTTTTTAAAATATTCTAGTGGTTTGAAACAAAATAATAAATATTTTACAATATTATAATAACTGAACTAATTTAAACAAGAATATGTCCTGAATTGGTTTGATACATATTTGTTATTGCCAGAACATTGTTTATCAATGGTTTATAAACTGAAGATCTTGTCTTTAAGTATCATTTATGTAAATTATGACTTGTTCAACAATGTATTTTGTTTTGTCTCAAGTGTTAGTTAACATTATGTTATGTAGAAGTCTTTTATTTAACTTTTAAAAATATAGAACAAATACATACATAGCTAGCATTTACACATGTGTATATGTAAATATTACTTTAGATATGATTAATAAGTTTGTTAATTTTATGAGGCTACAAATCCCTTGCCAACTATGGCGTTGCAACTTTTCATGTGCATTACTGCAGTTGGCTTTTAGATGTTAAATTAATTATTGCTTACAAAAGAACAAATGTATTTGAGAGGTTTGAAAAAATTTACCTTTTTGTCATTATTATTATTTTCATAATTCAATTTTTATTAGCCTGACTCTCCATTACTCAATTAATACTCAGTATTTATATACCGACCACTGACAGTCAACTCAGGAATTGTCATTCACTTATATAATGCTATTAACAAATTAATTAATTAACACTTCAATGTGCAATCATAAGATTTTTATTATACTCTGAATGAGAAATGTGTTTCTTGGTCAATTAAAGAATGTCATACTTCTCAGTAGTTTTTATATTGTTGCTTCATGATTGTACGGAACAACAGTTGCAAAAAATCCACCACTACCATTTTTCAAGGTGCTCTTTGAAATAGATACAGTTAATATTGTTCCAAATTATTTTATTGCTGCTGATGTAAGTGAATATGGATGGCCCTTGCCTGTAGTTTTGTTTTGGGAATTGTTCCAGTTAATATTATCAGTAGTTGAAATGGCCTTTTGTGACACTAACTGTTGTTAATTTAGAATGATTTCAGCGTAATTTACACATTTCCTGACCATACAACTCTTTCTTTTTGTAAATGTGCCCACCCTTCTCATTTTTTAAAAGTATTTTTCATTATAGTGTTTGGTTCAGATACTTGAAAATATGTACAGGAGAAATATTTGGGGGAGGGGGTGCTTATATGTCAATGTCAAACTGTCTGGCCATGCTGAAGGATGTACATGTAACAGTCACAATTATACAAGAATAAAGAAAAACATTTTTTTTCCTCATTTTAAGATGATATAAAGATATACATCTATTATGAAAAACTAGACATTCAGTGACCACCATTTCCAATCGGATTTCAGTTGAGGTTGTGTTGGACTTAGAGAAAACCAAGTTTTCACCACGATGTGATGGTACGATTTGCACTCGCTGATCCCACAAAAACGTTGTGGCTCCTATCAACTTGATTAAATTTCACAACTATTTAGCACTGATTAAATTGTAAGTTTTTCCCATTATTACCTATATTAAACTTCTACAGCATTGGTCAAAAAGGTTGTCCCACCCCCATTTCCATGTACTTTTATTTACAAATGATCACCTCACAGCTGTGAACTGTTAGAAATAGTGCTTTTTATCACGGATACCGTGTCTAACATGATTAATGGTTAAAAAAATACAAAATAGTGGTGAAAATATACATATTTTATACCATTTAGTAAAATTTATAAGAGGTACCCCCTCAAATCGACTGTTTCACTGTGACTTCTACAGATGTAAAGAAATGTCTATAAAATTGAAAAGGTGCCATCTACCGCGTACTGCAATTATCTCCTGTAGACGGCGCGACAAGCCTTCCACATTGGTAACAATTCTGTTATGTGGGATATTGTCCCATTCCTCCTAAAGAGCGTGGCGGAATTGGTCAAGATTANTAGTATATGTAAACCTTTTTGAGCGGCCTATATGCATGATGCATTTGCAAGTGCATTCACACTTATACCGCAAACACACACATGCAGGTGGGTACAAGCACTTACATTCATGTGACTAATAACACAACTATACTTAATGAAAATTGTTGAGTCCAACATTTTGATTAGAAAATGAGTGACCTATGTATTTTCCCTCTCTCTCTTTCCCTAGATTATGCTGAACCACAGGGTGCAGCACAGGCAAATGAGAAATTCCAAGGCTGTATACGGAACATGAAGATTAATGGAGCTGAAGTGGACTGGTCAAGTAGTAAGGTCTTGACAGTGGATGTTAAAATTGGTTACTGTCCTGGTACCAAATAATAAATAGCTGTTTTTATAGGTTTCATTTTTTTTCACATTTAAATTATATTGATAATTCTGAGACCAGACTATATGGATTTGGATTTACAGCATAGACTGCAATAAATTCCGAAGATATCCTTTCAGTTTTATGATTTGTGTGAGATATTCAAAGGGTTTGCATCATTTATTGTTTTTTTCAATTGAGAAGTACTGCTGCCTTTGCCAACAATTTTTTGTACAAGATGACTGTATGGTCAAGTTGTACATATTAATAATGAGCATGATGGATATTTTAAGATGATCTAAGATTGCATTTACCATTCATTGAAAAAAATATTAAAAAGTGCACCTTTAGTAAAATCTTTGGGAAAAATTATTAAATGGACAATGTAGTATCATGGTTCATCTTTTTTCATTTTTTTCATTAAAACTGTATGAAATGTCTTATATAGTGGATCTACCTCAATTGTTTAGGTTTCAAAGCTAAGCTGGGACCCTTTTTTTGTTTTCTGTCCTGCTTAAAGATATGGAAAGTATTTATATTATTGACAATAGACAGAGTTACTATAGTAGTTTTGTAATATTAAAGCAAGGTAATAATGCAATTGAAACTTGGCATTCTTTATGAGCATAGTTAAGTTATTGTCTTTGTTGTTTTTATGTCAGATAGTTGTTGTCAGATGATTTTCCATATATCTATGTAAATGGCCAAGTCAGAACTATGTGAATGGTAGAATTAACCAAGAAATGAATGAGGGAGCTTTGCTTAGTTTTTTTTTGCTTTTGACTTTTTCAAAGTTGAATGATCAAACAAAAAAGATTCTGAAACCAAAATCTCACACAGTTAGTTTGTAATATTAGGTGATAGAAACTGTTATTTATATTGTTGAGCTGCATCACTGCCAAGCATTTCAATCTTATACTTTTTGACTATTAGAAACCTGTTTATTTTCATATATATGTATGTATTATAGCTGTTAGATGCTATGTCCAGATACAATCCTTTGATAACACTATTATAGTCTTGTGTAAGTGCTTCAGGTTTAGATATTATGTGAGCTTTTTGATTACAAATAATTCATTTTTTAAAATATTCTAGTGGTTTGAAACAAAATAATAAATATTTTACAATATTATAATAACTGAACTAATTTAAACAAGAATATGTCCTGAATTGGTTTGATACATATTTGTTATTGCCAGAACATTGTTTATCAATGGTTTATAAACTGAAGATCTTGTCTTTAAGTATCATTTATGTAAATTATGACTTGTTCAACAATGTATTTTGTTTTGTCTCAAGTGTTAGTTAACATTATGTTATGTAGAGGTCTTTTATTTAACTTTTAAAAATATAGAACAAATACATACATAGCTAGCATTTACACATGTGTATATGTAAATATTACTTTAGATATGATTAATAAGTTTGTTAATTTTATGAGGCTACAAATCCCTCGCCAACTATGGCGTTGCAACTTTTCATGTGCATTACTGCAGTTGGCTTTTAGATGTTAAATTAATTATTGCTTACAAAAGAACAAATGTATTTGAGAGGTTTGAAAAAATTTACCTTTTTGTCATTATTATTATTTTCATAATTCAATTTTTATTAGCCTGACTCTCCATTACTCAATTAATACTCAGTATTTATATACCGACCACTGACAGTCAACTCAGGAATTGTCATTCACTTATATAATGCTATTAACAAATTAATTAATTAACACTTCAATGTGCAATCATAAGATTTTTATTATACTCTGAATGAGAAATGTGTTTCTTGGTCAATTAAAGAATGTCATACTTCTCAGTAGTTTTTATATTGTTGCTTCATGATTGTACAGAACAACAGTTGCAAAAAATCCACCACTACCATTTTTCAAAGTGCTCTTTGAAATAGATACAGTTAATATTGTTCCAAATTATTTTATTGCTGCTGATGTAAGTGAATATGGATGGCCCTTGCCTGTAGTTTTGTTTTGGGAATTGTTCCAGTTAATATTATCAGTAGTTGAAATGGCCTTTTGTGACACTAACTGTTATTAATTTAGAATGATTTCAGCGTAATTTACACATTTCCTGACCATACAACTCTTTCTTTTTGTAATTGTGCCCGCCCTTCTCATTTTTTAAAAGTATTTTTCGTTATAGTGTTTGGTTCAGATACTTGAAAATATGTACAGGAGAAATATTTGGGGGAGGGGGTGCTTATATGTCAATGTCAAACTGTCTGGCCATGCTGAAGGATGTACATGTAACAGTCACAATTATACAAGAATAAAGAAAAACATTTTTTTGCTCATTTTAAGATGATATAAAGATATACATCTATTATGAAAAAAACTAGACATTCAGTGACCACCATTTCCAACCGGATTTCAGTTGAGGTTGTGTTGGACTTCGAGAAAACCAAGTTTTCACCACGATGTGATGGTACGATTTGCACTCGCTGATCCAACAAAAACGTTGTGGCTCCTATCAACTTGATTAAATTTCACAACTATTTAGCACTGATTAAATTGTAAGTTTTTCCCATTATTACCTATATTAAACTTCTACATTTGTTCACGCGTCTAGTGTTGGTTACAGCGGAGGTTTACAATGCTGAAGTCTTTATCTAGGACAGAATTGACTGTCTGTTGCAGCACAACGACTTCCACTNTACAATGCTGAAGTCTTTATCTAGGACAGAATTGACTGTCTGTTGCATCACAACGACTTCCACTTTGGTGTGAATTTTTTTTTTTTTTTTTTTTTTTTTTTTTTTTTTTTTTTTTTTTTTTTTTTTTTTTTTTTTTTTGTCTGAATAATTACTTCGTGACAATTGTGAACAGATAAGACAGTATTAAAGTACCAGCTACGCAAATAGCACCAACAGTAAGCCGCATTTATTTTGAGTAATTCTGGTGGTAGTCTCACCCTATTGCTTAAAAATAACATCTTTCCTTTTTGAATGTCAAAAATTAGGTAAGCACTATCCTTAAAGTAGGCTTATTTTGTATCCTTCGTTTATTAACCATCTTTCTATCCAATTTATGCTCGACGCAATTTAATTCCCTGTAATTTTAAAGAACAAATTTTGTGAAGAAAAATTATCCTGAATTCTGTTACATGGGAAATCCATGATCAACAGTAATTTATTTTTGTTTCATGATTTCGAGATTTCATTAAAGTGAGTATTTTATTTTCTCCTTTTTTCCTTTGAACATCAAAACAAATGAAATCAAAATAAACAATTTTATTGGAATGTATTCATTGAATATTTCATGTGAATTACACATTGTATCTTTGAAAAACATATTTAAGCTTTTAAGTCATTTATAAAATTAAGGGCACACACATTGATTAACTCAATTATTCACTTAAAATGATTATTCGTTTTCATTTGATTCACCTTTGTTCCTCTGGAAACAAAGTACGTCATTCTTTGAATATTCATCTAACTCACTTAGACCTATAGACCTATATCATCCAACATTTCAAAAGAAAACTTCGTGTGCAATTTCATAATAAGGTTCGTGTTTTGGTCGGCCCATTTTACACAGCTGCACGCTGGTGATCTTTTTTTGGCCAAAGTACATCTCCCTGTACGGCTCATAACACTTCGGGTCTATTTTCCGTAAACCTAAAACAAAACGAATTTGAATAGAACAATCGGTATACATATTATAATAAATAAATAAATAAACAAGAGAATAGAAATATTTGCAAGATAACGTTAATGTGTTCTACAACTGTTCAATTTTATTGCTTACATCACACTTAAGGAAGTAAGGATAAGATTTAAGGACTTCCCCACTGAAAACAAACTTAAATTTTTGCCAGTAGGCAAACAAGCGCACAATGTTACACAGCAGCCATTCGTTTTTGCATGTGAGGGTACGGGTATAAAATGAGACAATTACGTTTATACACTTAATGCATTTCTGTAGTACGTGGGGAAAATTGTGCGTCTCTTACCGAGCTCATATTTCATGTGTGGATACAAATGCAAAATGGTAATATGTGGGATGAAAGGTCGGTCTTCAAATGGTTTTACTGACGCCTGTTTGAAGGTTGCTCTCACTGCCTCTGTTATAAGTAAACAAAACAATTGATAGATGAAAAAAACATATGACCAGTTACATCATTCAAACTATAAAGAAACTAGTTAAAGTTTTATATATATATATATATATATATATATATATATATATATATATATATATATATATATATATATATATATATAATACCCTAAATTTGGCCTTCTCCCGATATATGCCAGTACATGTATCTATGGTCCATTTTTCCCATAAGCTGTGCTGGGATACCAAATGGATAAGTAGTTTGTAATGTTGTATATGTATGCGATTTTCGATTATTCAATTCTAACTTATAAATTTGTCCACGTGCCATTTTATCACTTACTTGATATTTCGCCTAGAATTCCCTTTTCTGGTGTGGGTTTCACTTTAGCAAAGACAATTTCTCCACTAAAGTCGTCTATTCCCTGCATTTTCACTGTAAGCGGATCATTTTCAAACTTCATCAGTTGTGTCTCGTAACAATTATCTAAAGCCTCTTTGGCCCTGAAAACGCAAAAACGTGCTAAATGCCTTATTAGCACCAGTGACGGATGATTCTGACAGAGGAGCAACCTGCCTCTTCAGTTTTATCAGTTTCGTTTAATCTGCATAAGTAAATATTGAAATATCGATTTGGAAAACAAATCAGCAATTATTAATTATCTTTATGTGTATCTTCATTGTTGCATGGCCGTTATCTGACTAATCTGTCCTTAGGAACATGTCAAGCGATTTCAAAAGCAGACGTTACAATTATTGATAAAAGTCAACTATCTCACGATAAAAAGCGGCAAGGCAATTGAGTTAGTGAAGAGTTGAAAAAGATTTTCCAAACTCTAAGAGAAAAAAATATATAGACTGTAGTAGGTCTTTTTAAAACTGATAACGGAACAGTGACGTAGACTTCAGGTGATATACATTTAACAGGCTTCTCACCTTTCCAACACCTTGTCGTTTTCGATTTTGGCCGCCATCAAAGTGATGTGATATGCAGAAGGGGATTTTACGATGCTTGAGAGGTCAACTTTGCAATTGCTTTTGTACTTTTCTACGATGTCATCCTCAACCTTCATCAATGATTCTTGAAGCTGACAATACCAAATAAATGTTTATTGGAAGATTTAATATAACTATTCAGTTAACTGGGCAAGCAGTTGCCCAAACGTTTAAGAAGAGGGGCGTGATTGGGCCCAAGGATTGTATACCGAAAGATATATATTTCTGAAAGTCAGCGAACAAATGTGTAAGAATTTTGTTGTAAATATCGGTCTTTAACAAGTTAAATATATCAGTAATGAAATATAGATAAATTCTTCGGAATTTTAGTTGGGAGATATACGTAGTAACTTCAAAAATATAGGATGAGAAAAATGCAAATCATGGTCAAAGCATATGAAGAATGGCCTCATATTATATTCTTAAGAGGGCAACACATCTTACATATTTTACACCCAAAGTAAAGAAACAGTACATGATGAAACATCCCTGGAAAAATTCAACAAGAATCTCAACGAACCGTTCCAGCTGGTTTCGTCTTGCAGCCTCTTACCTTCTTGTTATTCATTTGGATACACACAAAATGTGTCGGTTTGGGTTGTTGCTGTGGTATTTCTCCAGACCCCTTAGATGCCGACGCCGTGCCCGCCCCTCCGTCGGAACTGCCACTTACTGCTTGTCGTTTCAGAAGGTACCGCGGCGTGAAGGTGGGCTTTGCGCACTGTTTGTGACGGACGCACTGTCCGCACTTCTCATGCTCCTCATGTTGATGCATGGCGGCGGGTTGTCGAACTTAAAGTTGTTCGATTACCAAGGAGTGGGTAGGTCGCTGTATTATTGGATATTGATTAAATGGGCTTTATGGTGAGGGAGACGTGTCGCTTGGAGATTAAATAGTGGTTCAAACCCAACTGTAATTTGCACTGTAACGAGCTGACTATGAGACGAGCGTTAGAACCATTTCAACTGTTTGGGTTAGCGGTCTATTACATCGTAGTGAAAGAGTTTTATGTATACACAAGTCAAATATTTAGCCATTTTCGACCTGCACACGTGCGTCAGTTTCATATAATAAGTCAATACGAAATGGTACGTCAAATTATTGATGCTCTTTATATTCTTATTAGCCCAATGACCTGTTTTAAACTTTTGTGTCGAGTCATTTTATAAAAAATCGATAAGGTTACTGTGCAACCTGGAGAGCCATACCAGGCGGGAAATGTCCGAATTTAATGCGATTCCAACACTAAACAGATAGTGTAATGGTGGCTCTATCACAAATCAAAGCGTATCAACAAAATAACTTTTATGTGACAATTTAATTGCAATATGTACACAGTAAACTCCTTAATGTGTGCCAACATCTTAATTAATCCTTCCTCTCTCTCATTTCAGTCAAACGTCTAATATTGAATATTTTAACAAGATAAAATCGAATTAAAGCACCATTTTTACCAAAAGCTAGCCGCTTAAAATTCTGCTTATTGCTTCCATTAGTGCCTTTCATGCACATGTAACACAGGTGCCCTCGTGACTGCCATATTATTGTGCTTTAAATTTCAGAGATATTTATCACAAGCAAATTCATTTGTTATTATTTTATAATTGTTTCTGAGCTCTGGTGTACATTTTCAGTTTTAAAATTAGATTGACAGTCACCTATATCTTTCTCCAACAGCTGCCTTTCAGAAGAATCAAAGTATCCACCAGTTTCAGTGACGACTTGCTTATCGTCTGTATCACACTGCAAAATTGCTTCATGTGTTTGTTTGTCAACTGCAACACAATTTTCATGTTTCCTTTCAGTTTCTGTATCTTTACCATTTACATAATCACCATGCTTTGTAATTTCTTCCTGTAATTGTTTAATAGGTTCAACAGAGGTTTCCTGCATCATTTCTGTGCCTAAATCTTTTGTGTTATCAGTACCAGTGCCAAAGGAAACAGAATGCTCCACATGGTAATAACCCGTCTCATCTTTTTGTTTGAGCATAGCACAAAGTTGTAGGCCCTCTACTCTCTGCACTCCAAATGCAGTATCCTTGTAGTCTTCATATAAATCTGAAGCAATGCTGCGGATACCTAGAGAAATATAAAGGCCATGTGGTTATAAAATATTTACAGAATCAAAAATTAACATATTTGATTTTTAGAGGTCATGGGTAAATTTTATATCTCCATAGGTTAAGTAATACCATACCTTGAACAGTTATCTTACATCATAGTATATATTACTTTTTGCAAGATCATATGACTTAGAAAATGTTTAAGTATTTTAAAAAAGTTACTTAGCCATAACAAGATTCCTCAACAGTGGCCGATCTTTTAAATATAATCATGACCCCCCCTAAAACATTCACCTTTCTTTCTCAGACTGGGCGCCCTGGATAACTTCATGACTGTCACATGTGGTTTAAAGTCTTTCCCATCTCCATACAGCTCATGTTCCTCGTAACACTTTTCTACACACTCTGGAGGTTTAAAATAGAAAGTTAACAATGAGCTATTCAATATACATTTTTTGAATCAATTTTACTGTTTGAATGAAATAGTATTTTATTTTTCTATTACTACAATGGTATTTCCTGCAAGAGTGACTTATAAGCTTATAAAATATACATCTGATACTATAATCATTTTCAGAACCCATTATAAAAACACATAAAAAATTTCAGTTCCCTCCATGGATGAAGAAGCCAGTATTTTTGCATTTCATGAAAAAAAAAACGATTTTGTCATCAAACATGCATTTACCTTACATAAACATAACTCCATCTCACCTGCTATACTGGTCAGTTGGTCAGCCTCCTGGCCAGGTTTGACCATGGCAAAGAGGACCTCCTTCTTGAAGTGACCTAAACCAGTTAGTTCAATGTCCAGGGGTTGGCCTTTGAATTGAGTATCCAGCTGAATGCGGCACTTCTCCAAGGCTGATTTTGCTCTGAATCAAAATTTAAAATTCCTTCAATAAGACAAAAATAAAATTGCTTTTTAATTTTTGATTAAATAATTAATTTAATTGTAGTAATGCACCCATGGAGTATTACATGTACATTTTATGTGTGTTTTCACTTCATTTTATAACTACATCATATGGGAGTAAAGGCAGAAAATGGTAAGTCATCATTTGTGCATTTTCTGTTCTTAACTCTGCAGTAAAACTGTTAGTATAATAAATTTGTATTTTTTGCTTTAATAAGCATGGATTAATATTGTGTCCTGCAGTATGTTAAAAGCTTTGTAAGAAAAAAATGTATATTTATCTCATATTATGTAGTGCTTACAATGTATATTGTACGAAAAGGGCAACAACATTCATTCTTGCACATGTAAATACTTGTAAAATAAAGTATTTATTTTAGCCTAGACTTTTATTACTTTCCTTTACTTCTTTTATGGTATTTGATCCACAGTTTTTGATTAAAAAATAAATAAACTATGGGATCAAACCCAGTTGAAGATTGTGTCTGCTTTGCCCTGTACCCCCATTGAGCTACATTTTACATTTTCATATCTAACACACTGCTGCAACCACCAGGTTTCCAGAAACACAATCTCACCTCTGCATCTCCTCTTCCTCATCCAGTCTAAGCACTATCATGGTGAGATGAAGAGTGGGGATTGGTATGAATGCAGGAGATATATTCTTGTCTTTTTGGAGTATTGTCTTCTGGACTTCCTTAAGAGCACTATGAATCTAAGGGATGAAAAAAATTAATACAAAGCACTGATATATATAGTTAAAACAGTTAAGAGCACTATGAATCTAAGGGATGAAAAAAATTAATACAAAGCACTGATATATATAGTTAAAACAGACAGGGTACAGTTCTACTGTAACAGGGCACACTTGGTCTAACAAGAGTCCTTTAAATTCTTAACTTAATTAAGTCATTGAGCTACAACTTTCATCCAACCAATATGTAAACCTCCCCCTTTTATATTCATCGTTATTACGCAGAGTGTATGAACAACAGGCATCTATATACTGCAGGCTATTCAACTCATGAAGTAAATATCTTAAGGTTTTAATGTGACCCTTCAGATATACAGCTAGTTTTGTTGAAACCTTTTGCTTTAAGAACTTAATCTATTGGAAATAATAGTTTTCACAATGAATCTAATAACTTCAAAGGTGAAAAACCTGGACTGATTAGTAAAGCATACAGCTTCAAGTGTTACCTTTTGATTACTCATCTGTATGGCTACAAAATAGTTGGGAGGCTTTCTTCTGGGTTTCTTTTCATCTGCTTCCCCCTCATTCTCTTCTCTTTTCCCACTAGCTTGCTTCCTCTTCTGTGCTTTCTTTTTCTTTGCTTTCTGTAATTCCTTTTTCTGATAAAATTCATATTTCCTGTCTAGTATACCTGCAACAGTAGTGTTTAAAGTGAACCTTCATCAACTGTAACCATTTTAAAAGCATTTTTTTTACAATTCCACTTCTAGAACTTCACAGTTTAATGAAAACATTTAAAATGAAATTAAGAAAAAAAAAATGAAAATTTACATATAAAATAAGGTAGCAAAGCTATCAAATGTACAGACAACAAGAAAGAAAAATAATCCAATCAATCTGGTTTGCCAATTTTAGCTGTAAGTCAATCATTCTTGTAAGTTTTTTCATTTTATTTGTATAATGGCCATGTTATCAGGCTGATTTTTGAACTTGACCTGTATGTCATGAATATTCATCAGATCTGTAAGTTTGAAGACAAAAGGTAAAACAATTTTCAATTTATTTGTATATCACTGAAAGTGCACGTCGACAACGACTCGGCCATGGCAATATGTACAGACACAGATGGTTCTTGAGAGATTTCAAATTTAAAATAACAGTGATATAATATGTTGATGTTTACTGTCCTGCTGCTGCTTTTTAAAGGAGTGGTTAGTTCTAGTTTGTTGCTGTATAGGTCACAGCAGGGATTAAGGCACCGTTTACCTGAAAAAACCAAATTCCAAAAATCCATTGGCGGTATCTAGTGATCACGGTTTGTGCCCTGAATACCCCGCGGCAAAATTAACTAGCAGCACAGGCGAGTCATTTGCAAAGCTGTAATTAGTTCTCGGCTGCGCTCGGAGGAGATTCTGACACCACGATGCATGCGCAGTAGTATCTCTAAACTGTGGATTTCATCAGTTTACACTAATATCTGTCATATATATAGGGACCTCATCTTCTTCGTCTTGTTGTTGCACAAAATCGACAAACACATTTTTCAAAGCAACTGCAACCGTCATTTTCTAACTTATTACTATGCATGTGTCCAGGCTTCAGAATCTCCTCAAAGAATTAATTACAGCTTTGGAAACGACTCACTCACGCTTATAGTTAATTATGTCGCGGGGTATTCAGGGCACAGACTGTGATCACTAGATACCGCCAATGGATTTTTGGATTTTTGGAATTTGGATTTTTCATGTGAACGGTGCCTAAGAAGTTGGTGAGCATAGCTTCATATGTATGATATAATGTTCTGTTTGGTGTGGAAGCATACTAGTAGCTTAAATGGCAGTGGACCATGGTCGAGTTTGTTAGGTATACATAACAGGTACATACACTGTACATGTGAGGTGGCAGTATGTTATGTGTGTCAAAAATGATGGGCCCATGGAAAACAGTGAAATGTGTGTTAGGTGTAGTCAGTACTTGGAAAGACAACATAGAGAGTTGGTTAGATTTTTCTTCTTCCTACCTGTCATTAAATCACCAACATCAACTAAACATGCATCATCCTCCTCTGGCTGAGACTCTAGGACATTATCAGTGCATGCAAATGGTAACTCTGTTAAATATTCCTCAGCATCAACATCCAAGTCACTTTTAGCAAAACTTTCTGTAAAATCCAAATGATCCGACATTTTTGGTGATATCTTCTTGAAGAAAGAAAAAAAAACAACATTATTTTAGAGCATTTATGCCTGTAACACTTATCCAAATTAATTAAAACAATCAACAAAAACGTTTGATAATTATTTTTCAAAACAAGTTAAATTTCAAAACATATACTAGTACCTGACTTTTTACTAATATAATGTGTAGTCATTTAAATTAAACTGACCTTACAACTTGAACTGGATGTAGCACCAAATGATTCCATTTGTCCATTCTCTACCATCTTTCTTACTTGATCTGTCACCTGATGCAAAAGATTCCCTGGAAGAATCGTCTCTTTGCCATAGTCTCTCTTTTTCCTTCTTCTCTTTCTTTTTGACTCCTTCACTCCAGATGGTAACACTTCCATTTGCTCTGGAAAAAGTCCTTGTACTTCTTTGAAATTGAATGTCAATATTGGCTGCAGTTGGACATGATTTATCAGTTCATCCTCTGTAGTTTGCATAGTGTGACTTATTACTTCTAGTTCGGTTTTAGGAACATAGAGCGGGGGCAATGTAGATGACTGTGATTTAAACGGTTTTAAACTAACAGAAGAAGCAGGTGTTGGAGGGTTCAAAGATTGGGAAATTTCAGAATTTTTTGGTCTGCTAATACTGCATATCCACTTTGATATATGTGTTTTATTCTCGTTTACCAAGTAACGTGGGTTTACATTGATGACAGTATATAAATGACTATGCACGAGTAACTGAAAGGTTGTTGGTGCTGCAGTTCTCCGCTGCCGTCGGATAAGTGCAGTATAAATCATTCCCTTCTAGCATTAGTATTGCGATAACCACAATCCATAGATTCTACTGCTGTACTGGGTTCATTGTATACTACTCTAAATCAACTAAGACTCCATGACAGATATTATCAGTTGATACAAACTTTACGAGGTTGAAAAATAGTGAATGTCCAAGCCCTGCAAATTCGGTAAGTATATTGTGTGCTTTTGCTTCACACAATGCTTGTTATATCAACAATCGTTTCCAATTGCCGTGATGGTATGAAATAAATGCAACATTTTATTCCTGGTTTTTCACATTTCTATTGAACAGAAAAATACTTTGGGTGATCCCAAAAAGAATACAAAATCCATAAATATATGTATTTTTCAAAAGACACACACGAAAGTTCAAAAGACCCCAACAGTAAGGAATGTTGTTATCCTATCGTAAGTGGGTACACACACGCGGCATTTATTGACAGAAGCTACTGAAGCTGCTAGGGGGTAATTAATTATCGTTAAACAGCTTCAGTAGGCGTGCCAGAAATCTAAGCCACAATTTAGCGAGAAACCCTCGGAGATGAATCGATCCTGTTAAATCGATCTAGGTATGGGAACCCAGTCTAACAGTACCCTTAACGCTGCATTTATAGAACCTTTCTGGATAGCTTGCAAAATTCTTTCTCTAATAAATACATTAAGAAAATATAATGAATAATATTTTATTTTTTGTATAAGGATTGTCGTAGTTTTGTATCGTCAGACTTCATTTTTTGGAAAAGTGTGTTTGTTGAGATTACCTTCCAGTCTTACGATGTGTTAGATAAGACATGTTTACAACTTGAAGGTGAAGGTCAAAATGGGAGCTGACAAGAGTAAGTACACTGTAACCCCAGTGGGGCATATTCCGTATTTTGTTGTAGAAATCCGAGGAATCAATCTAAATTCAAAGCACATCTCGCAGGAGACTATAGACATGACACGGATACTGTCACACCAAAACCGAATTTTGATTTTTAAAGACCAAGGCATTGTTCCTGCTAAGGTTCACATTCGTGTGGGTGAATGGTTTGGACCCATTCAACCTGCAGAAATGTACAGCCATCCTCGAGCCCCGCATCCTCAGGTGCTTAGACTCTCCAATGATCCAGAGGAAGGCTGTGTTAACATTGGCACGAGGGGGTGGCACATAGACGGTTCATACCTGATGGTTCCTTACCATTACTCTTTATATCACATGGTCGCTTTGCCTACTGGGGGAAGTAGCACATGTAAGTGAACATAGCATATATCGAAAAGTATATAAAACATGTTTATCTATAATTGTCTTGGCATATAAAATGTTGTTGTACTTTCATGTAAATGAAAATAGGCAAATAAACAACCTTAAATTATTCTCCTTGTAAAAGCTGATCGATACATTTACCGAAACAAAATTCTATTCATACAAGTAAAATTCACAAATGTAATTGTTTCACCCTCTCTGCTTTAGTGTTTTATCCCTTGTTTGAATTGATAAAAAGTCTTGACAGCGAGCAGCTGAGCAGATGGCAGAGATTGTGGATTGTCAGATATGAGGATAACAAAAAGAGGGTCCATCCTGTAATTTATGTGCATCCTGTCACAGGGTTAGAGGTACATCTGAGTACATCTGAGTATTAAAAATCTGCGGTAACAGCTACACTTGTGCTTTATTGTCTGTGAATGTTTACTGTTGTATGTTTGGTTACACTTAGATTTTTTTGTACTGATCGAGTCTTTTACCTACTAGGTGCAAAATGTATATAAAATTTGGGACATTATAGTGCACTGTTGTTTTATGTTTTACTGTTTTTACACATGTATACACAAGGCCTAATATGATATATGGGACCAAGCCCTACCAATAGCGCTTAATGTACTAGTAGTACATCTATATACATCTTAACAAATCAAGATTAATGGTATTGGTTATAGAAATGTGCTTTCTGTTACAGACTATGTGTATTCATCTTGGAGGCATGAAATGTTTTGTATGGGACAGAGGCACACCTGAAGAAAGGTGGACAGCAAAAGAGGAGACTGACGAGATAGTGAAGGAAATTCAACAAGCTTTTGATAAAAACCAAAGTAAACTTATGTATGAACATAAGGTCGGTATTATGTTTGAGAATACATTTGTTAAAAGTTTCTACCTTACTTAATGTCAATTTTCACTGCTGTATTATGAATATGTGCTTTAATAAACCAACAAATCTGCAACATGTCAAAGTTGCTCTTAATGTTAATTGAAGTAAATAATTGTCTAATCAGTAAATGTTTAAAAAAGTTCTGTAGTATTTTATGTATGTATTATGTAAATACATTAAGAACTTCAGACTTGACAATATATATTTTTTTCAATATAGCATTTGATTTTTCCAGTGGGAACCAGGAGATTTCATCATCTCAGACAACCTGTCTGTTGCACATTTAGCTGGTCAGGCAGCCAGGCAGTCTAGGAAAGAAGTTGGCCTTCGAATTCTCCACAGGGTGTCTGTTGCAGGGACTCATAGACCTCAAAAGGAATTTAGAAACTATGTGAATACTTATGCTCTTGCAAGTGACAGGGAAATGCAATCTCAGGGATTTTCGTTTGGGCCCTCTCTGTGGAGATGTTGTATTTGTAGGAACAATGGAAGTAACAGTTTATCCGCTGACAGGACTTACAGAAATTAGAATTAAGATTTATGTCGGTAAATTAAGACATATTTGAGATGTTAGTAACATTTTAGTTATCATCTTCATTCTGTGATAAGAAAGACTAATTGCTTTACAGTTTTAAAAAATGTACCAGTTTGGCTTTGTTGTCATATATATAGGTTCTGAAATTATATACCCATTTGTGCACTGTAGTCAACTACTATTGCAGACAGTAAGTTTTTCAATCAAATAGCTTTTCTTTTGCATTTTTCATGAAATTATTAGATATGCGTTATTCCATGTGCTTATGCTATTCAATTTCATTTAGTTTTCGACTTTGTTTCAATTACTAAAATGCATCTCATAAAGTTGAAAACAAAATGCTTTTTCTTTTTAGAAAAGTTTTATTTGCATTACAGCAAAGCAATCACAGTAAACATGTTGTATTCCCAAGCTGCGATCAGAAGGCCTGTAGGTTGAACCACTGCCTTCTTCATTTCTGCATTAATGTATTCCCAGTGATCAGACAGATATCCCTCATCGGTTGTTCATCTCAAATCTTACCCAAAAATACAATTCTTAAGAAGAGAATTGACATCAGTGTGTATATAAAGTACAACTGTCTTGATTTTTCTTGCACTGCACAACGGCTTGTTATTCAGGATTTCTATCGTCATATCACTCGTCTCCCCTTTAAGAGGTGGAGTTAGGAACACAGCCACTCCAGTATGGGACCTGGGTGGCATCACAGATACTAGAGAGCACAACATACAAACTAAAATGCAACCAACATCATGGGAGCCTTCTCATAATATTGTCTCATTCTAAATTAAACGTTTCATTTAATTTATCCAGATACAATCTTGAACAAGATGTAAGTGAAAGTTTAAGAACTGTACATTTGCAACAGTCAAAGGTGTCTTTTAGCTATTACAGAAAGTGTTTCACTAAAGAGAGAAATTTTTAATGAATTTTGACTGAATTCCAAAAGTGTTTGCAATTGTTTTATGGTCCCAGTAATGTTGGTGCCAAGTTTGCATTATGTTTACATTCACTGAAAAGCAATGCTTGAGGCAAATACTAATTCAGGTTTTCAATGAAAGGTACAAAAAGAAAGTGTATAAATCCACTGCAGGCTTGCCTTGAGTAATTGTTAGAATGAAGGAGCAATCCATGTTAAAGCAAAATGGTGACAATACACACTACAGATTCAACTGTACAACTTTTGCTGGAACACTGTATAATGAGACATTTTTGTTAACATAACATGTCACTTAATGTGTCGCTACACAGTGTGACTGAAAACATATATAATATATAATATATCTTTGATGTGACCTTCCAATTGTACAATGTTTTGCCCCATGATCTGGTACAGAGTGATTTGTTTTAATTATGCAAATGCCATTTAACAATTGTGTCCACATCTTTTTTTCTATTTGGGAAACGATGTATAAAAGAGAAACAAAGAACATCTATAAATTCAGGGCTATTGGGTTTTTTAAGAAATGTATATTTTTATGATTTTTTTCCAGGCTCAGGATAATCATAAGGATGTGGCGAATATTGCCCCATACAAAATCCACAGTTGACTTTCAAAATCAAAACAGTCTTACAAAATTTGTATATCACCCATATGACATCATGTCATCCAGCTTCAATACTTTTGTCACTGTTCATCATTCTAGGTCACATTAAATGTGCTTGCAGCACAAGATGGAACCGTATGTGTAGATCTCTAATGCTGCAAAAAACAAATTGGCAAGGGCAGGAAGAAACCTTACTACTAGAGTACCATAATTACACACTACACTGACAGTAAAAGCCCCCTTCTGATTTCATCTATAATGTTATTGCATAGGTTTAGACCTATTCTTTGACAACATATTGCTTACTACAATTATACTTAAACAGAATAAAACAACATTACTGACAACATTTCCATAAAAACACATTCATACCTTTCCTCAATCATTAATACAAAAACCAACAATCTAAGATTCAAGTATGTGGTTCTGACACCACAACTTGGAAAAAAAAACAAAACGATATAAAGCTTTCAATAATTTGTCAATGCCAATTATCCACTGCCTTGTTTTGAACTTTCTTTTCTATATGGTAATAAAAAACAACTATTCTTGCAGAATAATGAGAGATAATACTTCCTTCCTTACTTCCTTCCTAAAAAAGACTAGTACTTATTTGATGCTATGGTTTGGGTTTGAATTCAGCTGTATTTAATATACTGATAATGTTCATCCTGAGATACTGTTCCACACACCAACTTCTCTGTAATACTTAGTAATAAAAGCTCCCTTGTACTTTTTCATGGTGCACTGGTCTTGTTTTTGTTGCAAACCACTCTCTTTAAGAGAATTCTGAGCAGTTTGATCAAGATCACCCTCAGAGTTGGTCCTTTTACTGGTGCTATAATACAAACTGTTTGGGCCCCTCTCTCATCTCTTCTACGACTCCGCCATACCTCAAACGGAATTTTTTAGCTCTCCATTGCACTACTGTGCTAACTTCAGCTTTAAGGAGGATAAATATGGAAGTTATTTCTCGGAACATCCACGCAACCACAAATTCAAATTTGGAAAAAGTCATTGGTCCATTCTGAAACAAGGAAAAAAGAAAAGAAACACAATGATTAAAAGGGAGTTAAAAGCATGTTTTAGTTAATTATTTCAATTACTTAATGAACACATATAGTCTTAGTTCTTGCACATGATAAGTTCTAATCTGGGTTTGTCAACCAGTTTAAAATTCAATTTTTATCTCACTGTGTAAGTAATACTAAAGACATTTCCTGCCTTGGAGCAACAATTACCAAGTACTGAATAGCATGCATCTTGGAGATAAAATAATTTCACTTAGATGTTCAAAAACTGTTATCATTTAAGTTCACTTAATCAGGGACTGATGAAGTTCATACATTTTATGTGCTTCCCTTTTATTTTGATCAAATGCCAACATCTTCCTGATTAAGTAGCCATTTGAAACAACTGCCACCTCAAGTAATAACATCAAGTTAGCCCAGCAGTCAATTGATTTCCAATCCTTTCCTACATATTCAATCAGTCAGACAGATTGTAAGATGCACTAGCCTTCCTGATGGGAGGGTCAGCACACACCTCTCCCCACGAAATCAATACAAAGTACTGATTAAATTAATTTGACCCAATCAGTTGACATCTGGTCCACTGGGATCCAATTGATAAAAGTTACTTACACAGTGTTAAAAATTATCCTGGATCAAGTAGACTACTTCATTGCCTGACATTAATTCTTGACCAAGGTCTGTCCAGAAACGCGAGATGAACAGAAATGTGCTATAAATTTGAGCTTTATAAACAATCGGTTAAGTTAGCACTGACAAATGGAATTTCCCCAGGTGCTTTCACAATTTCATCCTGGAGACTGTATGAAATATAAAACTGGTCGGCATTTGTGGGTCTACTTTGTGCTCCCCCCCCCCTCCCATCCAAGACAACACAACCAATCATAATATAGGCAACTTACCTGCATTATAAGGAAGATCAAATAGTCCAGCAAAAACCAAGTGAGAAGATGGACAAAGAAAAATGCCAGACCACTAATGTTGAAGAGCACAGCAGCAGACCAGGCGCCGTTGATTCCATTCACCAAACAATCTGAAAATGGCTCCATGATTCGGTTAGCTGGACACATGGCAAATCTTAATTTGCCCCACCTGTAATAATAGAGAAAAAGTCTGAATTCCTTTAGTTTACCTTGTAAATGTGATGCCAGAGTTGTGTAATAGGGAGGAGCTGATACCTGAAATGAAATTCACAACACATAAAGCAGTAATCAAATGGACTTCAGGTTGGCAACTTCACAGCTTTTTTTTTCAAGTAAGAAAACTTTTCTTCTAGAAGGTATGTTTAAGCATTTCAATATTTCAATTAATAAAGACTTATTATTGGGAAAAGGGGACAGCAAAGTTACTTTTCACAAATATTATTTAACCAATGAATAGGGACAGATCTTAGAAATTTTGTGAAGGGTTACCTTCTTTGCATAAAATATAATAATTACTCACCTGACAAGCCTGTTTTGAAATCCTGATACTGACCCAGTCCCTGCATTTTGAAGTGCTGGAAAAGAACTGATTTGGACCTTCCAACCCCTGCAAAATAAATGATATAACATGCTTTAACCAGCATTCCATGGGAGTGGAGGTACATATATCTACCAAGGAGCCAAACAACCTTACCTTAAATCACTTTTTGAATTGTTTTGTAATTAAAAATTTCCTCATTTGATTTTTAACTTTTTTCCATTTACTTTTTTATAAGATGTCTTACCTATCTAAAAAAGCTTGAGCAATAAAATAATCTTCTGCTAGGTATTTTGCGAATGCCTTCAAACCACCTGCCTCCTCCAGCACGTTCTTACGCATCATTGAGGACATGCCAGTTGTGCAGTTTACGCCCAGTGCATTGAGAAACAGATACTGCTTAGCATGTACAGTGCCAAAGTACACCTGGAATTGAAAGTAATCCAAGAAATCAACTTCAATCAGGAAGTTAATGTGGTAAACAAACTAAGCAATGTGATGCAATATTTAACCTAGCATTTAATTTCAAAAAGATGATGTTGTACTGATGGAAAAAAATACATTGTCACTATTTGCATAAAAAACTTTAGATGAGCAATTATCACATTAATAAATGACAACTGCTACAAAGCAAAAATGCAAAAACAGGATCAAATAAAATGAGCAATAAAAGCTCATTTTGAACAAATGCTGCTTAAATAAAAGCACATAAAATGATGTAAATGTAAACCACACACTGACTTATTGATAGTGTCAGCGACAAATTGCATAACATCTATTTCAAGCATTATTGGCACAACATAAAGGAACGACAACACCAGTTATAGAACTCTCACTATTGGGCAATCCAAAGTCGTATATGCATTAAATATTAACCAATCACTAATCTATATGGGCAAACATTTACCATAAGAGACATTAATAGGGTCAGAAATCCAAACCATCTTTAGCAAAGGAGCAGAAAACCTGGCATGGTCTTATCTATTAATACCCTGTTCTTGTGTATCTTGACTATCAATGTCCACTCCACTGATCTAACATACCTTTTCTAAGATGGAACTAAAACCCAGCCTGTCTTCTCGATCACAGGTAAATGGAATTTGATGTATTTCTCCTACATCATCTTTTAAATGAAGAACCATGTCTAAAAGTGTGTCTGGTTTCACTGCAAATGACATCAAATAATTTCAATGATCAAAATGATTTATGTTCAAAAATTTCTTCCAATTCAATTGAAGTATTTAATATTGTTGTTAATTCACTAATATCACTAACTTTATCACTGGCTTGTCATTGTACACTGACCCATAGATTTAAATGCTGCACAAATATTGTGAATAGCTACAACACCAATAAGTATATGTCAATAAGTAAAAGAAAATGCACACAAACCAAACTATTATGTAATTTCCAAGTGCATCATTTATCAAAATAAAATCATATTTCTATGTTAACATTTTCTTGGATGCACTCTATGCATGTACCTAGGTACTAGTAACTTAAATTAAAGAAAATAGCTAAGAGAACTTACTTTTTATGTTGCAATCTGATATCATGAAGAGGTCATATTTGCAGACTTCATACCCTGACATCATGTTGTTAATTTTGGGGTTTATTCCTACTTTTTTTCCTCCTGAGAATATAAGAAAAAAATACATAAATGTTATGCATGCAAGTTGATTTTTCTTTTCTTTTCTTGGAGGGGGAGGGGGGAGGGAGGAGAGAGCAAACTCTGGAGTGTTTTTCTGCTTGCAACTGTAATACATCCTGATACCCCACACATTTCTGATACTTTTCTTCCTAAAAACATAATCAATTATCATGAATACCTCCTCTCAGGTACTATATGACATCAATACAGCTCAAGTGAACTAGACTAGCAAACAGCATTGCTGCATTATGAGAAATAATATATGTGTCTGGATTAATTTATTGCAGATACACAAAGGCACACTTTCCCCATATTTATACTGATAACAGCTCCACATGTTCAGAAAAACTCAAGAAAGAAAGGCTGTCTACTTTGCCCATCTGAAGTCCAAGAAAATAGAATTCTTTCTTTTGCTAATTCATCATTGTAAACTTCAAAACCATCTTTGCATTAGCAGAGTGATCTCTGTTTGCTCTAGCAAGTAAAATGTTTGCAAATGACAAAACACCCGAGTCTTTTGATTAGAGAATGTGAATCAATTCTTTTCACAAATATGAAACTTAATGAGATATTAAATTCAGGTTGTCACTTGAGAAGAAAAATCTGCTATAGCAAGTCTAGATCTGCTGATTTATAGCATAGAAAAATATATTGAATAGATTCAAAGATACAAACACTAAATGAAACTTAAATAGTAAATAACATACCTTGTAAAATTCTAGCATCTACTTTGGGATATTTTTCTATGAGACTCCTGACAACCATCTGTGCTGGATCTGATTCATCTTGGATACAGAATAATAATTCATACTGAAAGATAAAAATATGTGGTTCATTGTTCACCTTAATTTTCAAATAAATAAATAAATAAATAAATAAATAAATAATATAATATAATATAATAAATAAAAAATAAAAATAAACAATAAATAATAATAAATATGTAAATAAATAAATAAATATTAGTGAATGGCTATAAAATCCAAAATAGTTTTTCTTAAACCAAACAAAGTGACTTTCATAATAATGATTCTAAAATGAAACAAAAACTGAATCAATAAATGGAAACAAATGCACAAATGGAAGAATACTTCATAATTCCTAAAAGTCATTCATAACTTTTAGCACTCAAACACCCTTAAAAACTCTTTCCTAACTGAGTGTTCTTATATCCCACCATAAGCCATAGGGCAGATTCTGCTAAGGTGAAAGGAATTATCCTGACAAATCAAATTACGACTGACATTTCATGTAGTAAGCAGTCTGGGAAACAGATTCCATTATGACATCAACTGTGTATATGTAGCTAATGAATAAGCAGCAGTGCTTGCATACATTCAATACAAAAAACAGATATTCAGAGTGGGTTTTGTTGGTTCAACTTATATTAGTAGCAAATATAGAGAAGAATGTAGTTGGCCTTTCCTTCTCTCATGTAATCAACCCCCATCAACTCAGACAAAACTCACACACATCAATTCTAAGACTGATATTTATTCAACAATATATGCACCCCCCTTAATCTCTCAAGCACACACAGGGCCACACCCATCATTGATACTTACTGTTGGATAGTTAAGTACAAAATATGTTTCTAGGTTATCATACAAGTGAGCATCGACTCCTGTTAGGGGTTTGAGTATGGACACCCCAGGCAGGCTGTCAGGTAATACTGCGGGGATCTTTCTATACAGTTTGTACTTCCTACAAATAAAGAAATGAGTCTGTAAGATTCAAAACTTGCCAGGCAATTAAAATGTTACATTGGATGTTAATTACTTTCTAATAATAATAAATAAATAAATAAATAAATAATACAGAGAAGAGAGAGAAAGAACTATTATTAGATTTAATAGTAAACAAACGGTGATTAAAACTATACTTAAATACAATAACGGATGATCATTAATGCTCAAAATTGTGCAAATATTTCCCAAGTGTTTCATAAATATTAACATAACACCTTATCTTATAGAAAATATAATTGCATTTTTCATGTGGCACTTGAAGAAGATTTCTATAAATTCTAACAAAAAATGTTCATGTCTGTGACACAGCCTGGAATGCCCTACAGAACCAGGAAAAAAATCTGCCAATTTACCAAACCATCATACTTCCAGGTGCCATATCCACATAATACCAGCATGCGGCATCTCATGCAGTGTACCTAACTACGAAGTGCTTATCATTATACCATATGACTAATGTTTCCATTGCTGTTTCAATAACAAATCTATACCAAGCTTGCCATAGCTGTCACATTAAATACTACCATGGCCTGAAAAGAGTAGCGTGATATCATTCTAATCAGCATTTATCACAATATCTTAATGGGACTATTCTAAAATTGTTTGATCTAATTATCTACCTTTCAGCAAAACAATCACAATTACAACTAATATTTCATTTTGAAGCTGTACAAATGGCATTTTACACAAAATTGTGATCCAGTCTCATCACATTGAAAAACTTGTCTAAGAAAAAATTCTTCTCTTTATGTAACGCCATGTGTTTGAATACATTATGGCAATCTTTTAATTTTGCCACAAGACAAATACAAGTATCGAGAATCAATGAACAGCCTTAGAAGCGTTAGCATGCTGCTCTGTAATAAAGCCCTCTACTGAGTGATCTTTATTTTGTTAGGAATGGCACTGTGCAGACTGCAGAGAAAACATACAACCAAAGGAAAGACATCTTATTAGCTTCAACCAATGCAATGTTCATGAAAACCATCAAAAGGGTGGACAGTTTTAAGACTTCAGTCATTTCGTTGCTTTATGAATATCACAAGCCGTTGGAATATAAAGAATCATATATGTTCTAATCAGTGTTTGCCTCTTAGGAAAATAAGTTGCTGGACCGAAAGCTCAGCCATCTTGAAAATTAGCTGGCTAGAATGCCTGCCAGGTGGGAAAACTTCTCTGCCCGTTCTGAAAGTTGTCTGCCCCGGGCAGACGGTCCAGCCTTAATTTCTTTCACTGGTTCTAATTGTTCACATTATCTGGTTATTTTCTTTCCCGATTTTCAATTACTAGTATCTTCCCACCAAAAAGTACATTTCATTTTGTTGTAAGCAATTCTTGCATATATACATGTGTAAATTCTCTAAATCAGCTAAATGGCAAAAGTTTTGCATATCTCAGCAAAATAACAGAATCTCTGCATATCTTTAGTGTTCCTTGTGGAATGTGATACAATTCTTCCCTCCTGATTCACTTACTAGAATGCCTGAGTATGCAACTATGGTCTGGCCTGCATGTTTTTCAGCAGTCATGATCGCACATATTTACCAACAAGGGAGTAAAATGTGCCATACCAGCAGCTACCACACGCAACAGTATCACATGCACCATTGCCACGATCAGATATTTGTTTGCAAGTTTTCTGACTTTCGAGGTAATTCCATTAATCATAAAAAAATTCATGAGAAATATAAGGATACCAGACAAAATGCCTGTTAACAACACAGACCCAATCTGTACCTTACAACATGAAAAATAAACTAAAAATTATATGAAGTTCACTGCTAAGGACCTCATTCCCAAAAAGCTGTAAATTAAAAGATATCACACGCTGAAATGTGATAGAATTCTCACCACCTAACCAAGGTTATCTGACAGATGCTCCGATGTTTCCCTGAAAATTTCGACAAAGCATAATCTCCAACTTGCTACATTAACCTTAACAGATATGTCTGCTAAAAGCCTAACTAAATTCCCTGCTGATAAAAAAATCAATTTGTTATCACACAGTTGCTTAAACTTTCTCACAGACCAGACAGGAGAAACATTCGTACCATAATGTAAGAAGACGAATCAGCCCAGACCTTCCTGACTCTTTAAGACATAACAAAAGAGTGGTTGATATAAATTCAATTTTTCCTTGGCACATTTTTTATCATATAGAGCAACATATATGTCTTTAAAAAGATCTGTTTGCAAATGGCTTAAACTCTTTGAACTCAAAACCTCCAAATATTTAATGAGGCAATATCGTAGAGAGGGTCTACCATTAAAAGCTTCCCTAACTTACTGGTAAGGCAGTCATACTGTGGTCAATTTGTAATCATATTAGAGACCATGATATATACCCTGTGGCAGGTACTTAAAATATTGGCCTTTATTATTTAAACAGGCACTATATGCTTTTAACCATTGGCAAATAATTCCCCTTCGTTCTCTTGGTGTGCAAAATTTTATGAATCTGAAGAAACTACAGGTTGGCAAAACATATTTTGAAAATATAACCTTAACCACACCTGTGAACTTTGTGAATGAAGAATAAAGGAAATAGACTATTTTTGCTCTGACATTCATTAACATGTGTTAACACTTGTGGTAAAATAGAAAAAAAAAAATACAGCGTACTGCAATTAATACCTGTTGCACAAAATTCTTTCCTAGGACTTCATCTTTTATGCATGCCAGGGTGAAATAGTGCATACTTTATCATTCTAACTACTAAAATGCCATTTATTCTCTTCAGAGAAATGATCATATGCAAAAAAGAGAACAATTTAGGTCATCTTTCTATTCCAGTTACAACCTCCTTACATAAGCTGGGGTGGGTCAAGGGAGGAGGGGACAGGAGCTAAAATATATACCTGGTTATACAGTCTACAATTCCATTATTCACTGCTGTGCCAGATCTAGTGACTACACTAATTAAGTATTACAAAAACCTTATGCATTTCATACACTCCTACTTACATCAATTACATAACCATTCTCATCTTACAACACTGCATTATTTCATAGCTAACCCCTGTCAGATAATTATAAAGCAGCATCTGTAATTCACCACAGACCAAACTACCTTTAAGGTATCTAGACATGCCCCACAGACAATTTAGAACATTCCTCACAAGTTTCCAGCATTCCACACTGACAATCCCAGTGCAGTGAGTGCCACAGTATTATTGACCAGAGTAACTTGACCCAGTTAGGGCTGAACTTTCTGGAATTTCCCTTCCACAATGTTTTTTGGGGTGATAACGTTCTTACTATCAACACTGCTGAAAAAATCATGGGCACACTTCCAAATGTTGCATCAAGTATGTCCAGTTAAATTTCTAGCAATAGGAAACCCATCTAATCAATGTTATATCTCTCTTTCATGGCAAATAAGAAGGGTATGTGGTTAAACTGGTATCATACAGTACTAGTAGTAGTAAGCAATCATAACCAAATTGTGAAGATGGTTTGTTTTAAGAAAATCCATAATACCTTAACTGGAAAAACACCTTAACTGCCTGCATCATTAGGGAATAACACAATATTTTGCTCAACTATACAATATTCAACTGATATTTCACTCAAAATATCATTTAAGCACTGGTATTAATTAACTTATTAAAGTAATATTTACAACCAGGTTTCATTTGTGATCAGTAAAAATACATTTTTGCAGTGATGTGCTACTGGTTAAGTGGCAGTTATAGTTACTAGTAGTCTATAACCATCATCTTCACCAGCACAGGCAATCTTTAACACTACTACGTTCTGAACATAAGTTAGCTATCATCCGCAGTTATCCCCAAGTCTCAGACAGATTTAGAAAGACTTCATACATGAACTTACAGAATCAATACTGTTATAAAGAAAATCAATATTTACATCAAATCTTCACAGTTATACATTAGATTATAAAATTCAGACAGTAGAAAGCAAATGTCATAATTCATCAAGCCATTTGCTCATATTTATGAGGCACATGAAATGGAACCATGCACAGCTTAGAATTCTAACACAACCTTTTTTTATCTATGATTCTACAGTCACTTTACCAGATCATGCTTAATCCATTCAAACTATCTCAACACTTACTTCATCATAGGTTGTATATGGCATAAAATGCAAGATGATGTCTGCAATAAAAAGCATTTTGAGGAATACAACTCATTTTTACTTCACATAAAAAAACACATTACATACTATAAACTGCAACTAATGTTGCATAATTGCTTCATATTGATGTTTCCAATATTAATGAAACAAGTCATCCACCATCTGCTGTCAGACACTTACATCTTAATATATTACCAAGTTCAGCATGACAAAATTACTGGAATTAAAAAAAAAAAAGTCAAATGATTGCCGCTTCTCAGAATGCTATACTAAACGGAGGTTGACAATATGGCTTTTCCTATTGTAGTACAAATACAAATGCTGACATGGTTGACCAAATGGACCACTGACTTTTCTCATCAAAGTTGTCAATCTTTTTTCTCACCCGACTGACATAAAAAGGGGAAAAAACTTTTGCAAACATTTTATTGGAGGAATGAGGCAAATTAATTTGAGTAAATTTTTTTTCAGCTAAATAAGTCTGGAAGATCATTACTGCCTACTAGTAAAGGACAAGTGCCCAAAAACCTTATTGACCACACCTGCTGGAGAATCTTCATTTCATATCACTCTCATTTCACCTTTCATAAATGGATCAAAATTCACAAACCAAAAATAACTGCTGCATCATATATGTTTGGATTCTCGTGATTAAAAATGTTCTCTCCTAAAGAAAAAGCACTTCATATCCAGTCCTTTCACAGGTAGGTAAAGATAATGCTGTCCTAACTGTGTAATGTTTAACTCTTCCCTGCCAACTTTTTCATTATAAATGCTGTGTTTTTGCATGTACATATGATCAGATAAACTTTGTATGAGCATGTTTTCAGTCAGGCATGGGTCAATTAAAATAGTTGAAATATCCCTGACCCAGTCATGTTCACATGTAACAGTGACTCAGTCATTCATACACAACAGGACCCTCCTTTTATCACTTTGTAATTGTAGTAAATTGCAACCTGAGTAAACCAACTTTCTACTCTTAACACGTGAGCCCTCCTTTTGACTGCATGAATGATCTTTAAGGGCACAGCTTTATAAAACAAATTTGGAACATTAACCAAAATACCAAAAGANGGAAATCCATAATACCTTAACTGGAAAAACACCTTAACTGCCTGCATCATTAGGGAATAACACAATATTTTGCTCAACTATACAATATTCAACTGATATTTCACTCAAAATATCATTTAAGCACTGGTATTAATTAACTTATTAAAGTAATATTTACAACCAGGTTTCATTTGTGATCAGTAAAAATACATTTTTGCAGTGATGTGCTACTGGTTAAGTGGCAGTTGATGTGCTACTGGTTAAGTGGCAGTTATAGTTACTAGTAGTCTATAACCATCATCTTCACCAGCACAGGCAATCTTTAACACTACTACGTTCTGAACATAAGTTAGCTATCATCCGCAGTTATCCCCAAGTCTCAGACAGATTTAGAAAGACTTCATACATGAACTTACAGAATCAATACTGTTATAAAGAAAATCAATATTTACATCAAATCTTCACAGTAATACATTAGATTATAAAATTCAGACAGTAGAAAGCAAATGTCATAATTCATCAAGCCTTTTGCTCATATTTATGAGGCGCATGAAATGGAACCATGCACAGCTTAGAATTCTAACACAACCTTTTTTATCTATGATTCTACAGTCACTTTACCAGATCATGCTTAATCCATTCAAACTATCTCAACACTTACTTCATCATAGGTTGTATATGGCATAAAATGCAAGATGATGTCTGCAATAAAAAGCATTTTGAGGAATACAACTCATTTTTACTTCACATAAAAAAACACATTACATACTATAAACTGCAACTAATGTTGCATAATTGCTTCATATTGATGTTTCCAATATTAATGAAACAAGTCATCCACCATCTGCTGTCAGACACTTACATCTTAATATATTACCAAGTTCAGCATGACAAAATTACTGGAATTAAAAAAAAAAAAAAAAAAAAAAAAAAAACTCAAATGATTGCTGCTTCTCAGAATGCTATACTAAACGGAGGTTGACAATATGGCTTATCTTATTGTAGTACAAATAAAAATGCTGACATGGTTGACCAAATGGACCACTGACTTTTCTCATCAAAGTTGTCAATCTTTTTTCTCACCCGACTGACATAAAAAAGGGAAAAAAAAACTTTTGCAAGTATTTTATTGGAGGAATGAGGCAAATTAATTTGAGTAATTTTTTTTCAGCTAAATAAGTCTGGAAGATCATTACTGCCTACTAGTATGGGACAAGTGCCCAAAAACCTTATTGACTACACCTGCTGGAGAATCTTCATTTCATATCACTCTCATTTCACCTTTCACAAATGGATCAAAATTCACGAACCAAAAATAACTACTGCATCATATATGTATGGATTCTCGTGATTAAAAATGTTCTCTCCTAAAGAAAAAGCACTTCATATCCAGTCCTTTCACAGGTAGGTAAAGATAACGCTGTCCTAACTGTGTAATGTTTAACTCTTCCCTGCCAACTTTTTCATTATAAATGCTGTGTTTTTGCATCTACATATGATCAGAAAAACTTTGTATGAAACTTTGTATTTCAGTCAGGCATGGGTCAATTAAAATAGTTGAAATATCCCTGACCCAGTCATGTTCACATGTAACAGTGACTCAGTCATTCATACACAACAGGACCCTCCTTTTATCACTTTGTAATTGTAGTAAATTGCAACCCGAGTAAACCAACTTTCTACTCTTAACACGTGAGCCCTCCTTTTGACTGCATGAATGATCTTTAAGGGCACAGCTTTATAAAACAAATTTGGAACATTAACCAAAATACCAAAAGACCCTACAAATAAGTCAACAGGGGTTATTACAGGTGATATATTTAAGGTACAGGAACCTGTTCAATTGTCCTTGCTATGCATTTGTCACATTAATAAGGACATAACCATTTTTCAGTGGTCACTGGTCATCTCATGATCAGCTACTGGACACATGGTCACTATATGACTACAGAATCTATAGAATGGAAATATTCAAAACTGATTATTTGAGAGACAGACATAGCTGATATGGTTCCAAACTATAAATATCTTATCTTATCACTTTGAACCCAATTTTTCAGTAAGGGAATATAGGTTAGTAACCGTTACATATACCTTCATCAACTTACACAGAGGTTATCTGTATGCTATATGTTCTGACCTCATTTGAATCAGGACCAATATCTTTATACAAAGAGTACAAATACAGCACAAGCTCAGGGTCAGCCCACATGTGCATGGTTACTGGTGTTTGATTTGCCAAACTGATAAAAACTGGTCTATCTTTAAAATCATGTGAGTCCATTCAGTGTGAACAATCTCAAGGTCAATGTTAAGTGGCACTTCAAGGTAATGTTAGAAATGCCCCATGGTATTATCTTTTGCCTAGAATATAATCAAATCCTTTTCCTATCAGAAATAATCACTCTTTACAGTGATTGCAAAAGAACAGTCACTGTTAATTTTTGTGATGCCTTTGACAATGTTTTCTTTTACAAAAACATAACTTTTACATAATGAATAAAAGTCAAGCTTAATATATTAAAATCTTTGTACAATTTTTGTGCTTGTCTTCACCATATATTATTGTAACAAATGATTAAAAATTGGTCATTTATATGAGAGAAAAAGAAACTTAAGTCAATTTCCTATGTTGTTAATTGAAAAAAAATTGTTTGTTTTTAAGACAAGAATGTGTCAATACTTATTTAAAGGGAGTGTAGCAGAAACATTCTCAACTGATCCAATTTTAACTTTGTGCAATAATTCTCAATATCTGAGAAGGTAAGATGAATGTTTGATTACTATAAAAAAACTAAACTTCTGTTGATGTAATCCTTAGATGAAATATATCAAAATGGAACATATTAGCAAATGTTTGATAAATCTAAATGTTGTACAAGTAGCACTTCGTAGTATTATGGCTAAACTTTGAATATTGGCTTAATGTAACATACAGAATAAACGTATTTTTAAAAATCGATTCAAAAAAAATAATTCTTTACTTTAGTTATATTCAGAATCTGTTGTTATTCACTTTTCATTGATGTATACTTTTTGCCAGCCTATAAATAACTGATATGATTTTAAAAGGCAAATACTTTAATTCTATGCATACTTACCCATAAAACAATGCTCCTATATGAAATGACCACAAGAAAGTCCACAAACAGAAGAAAAATATTGCCAAGCCAAAGAGTATAGTATCTCCAGTAATAGGCCGTACATAGTCATAGAAATCCATCCGTAAGATCTTTACAAGACAAGTTGTACCTTCTACTTCCACTTATCCACAGGATAAGTCTGTCTTCTGTACCAAACACCTGGATCTGTCAAACTATAATGTGGAGTAAGCCAGACTCTGACTTCCACTGAGACCTTTGACTCCCGAGATAACACGGCACTATCACATTCAAACAGTGACGAGGGAATCCTATCTCTAACCAATCACTGAATCAAGTGGGAGGGGTCTTGCACCTTAGCACCTGACTCACTATGCCGGCAAACTAGGTCAATTTAAGACAGGGATTGACCGGCTTAATCATTAAACCCGTTGCTTCTTAACGGGTGACATATCATCTGATCATATAAATGTATAAAATATTCGTATAAGATGCATTAAAACTATTTCATTACAGATTGCACAATTGGGTACGCACTGGATCGACAGGCGAACTCCTTGAATCGTTCAGCATCCGACTATTATCCGATGAGAAATGGTATTTAATGGTAAAGACAGTGGCAAAAAGAACTGTACATAATGGCCAATATATTTTACTTACCCATATATGATTGCTACAATGTGAAATGACCAGAGAAAGCACCAAACTCCAAAGAAAAATATAGCTAACCCCGCTATAGTATAGTCGATAGCAGGGGCCATCATTCTTAATGTCCAGCCCCTTCCCGTGATGCTCTTCGGCTTTTTTCACCTTATACCCCAAGTAAAAAACACATTAAATACACGAAGCAAACAACCATTCAAACATTTAATTGAGTTCTATAAGCAGCTTATTTACAAACTGTTTCAATCTTTTTGTTGACTTAAATTGTGTCATATTTTTCATTTTTGAAGTAATTTACATGGGATATTAGTTCTTGCTTGAACATGGTAAATGACGTAGCGAATGATTCACCCCGTTACAACACCGGCCAAAGCACACAGAGGTATCCTTGGCATCAAGATCAACATAACAATAAAGGGTGTTCAAATAATGGGATAAATGAAATACTTCTTTTTTTTGCTAATTTAATTCTACATTTCTTTCGTCCATTACTTTTTAAAATTTTAAAAAGGATCCTTTCTTCGATAAAACGTTTCAATCCCAGTGAGCTATCCCAGTGTAGGTCACGGTAGTCACGTGACATCAGCAACTCTTCAATGTAAAAAGTCGTGAAACACTTGTTCGAAGAGAGGCATGTGCTGGCAAATCAATGTTGAGTGGATTTAAGAGCAATATAGTGGATCTGTTAACATGAGGATAGAACAATTATTTTAGAGATTGAATTTATGGGATCATTAGAACTACGGTTCAAGTTGCTTACAGCTTAAGGGTGTGTCATAGTCTTTTAAAATGCCAACTTCAACGTGCGAAAATGTGGTTGATGACATCGAAGATCTCGTTGGAAGTTTCGACTTAAGACCATCTCAAAGACACGTTACAAAAAAACTCATACTACCGAAAAACAAAAGAAAAAGTAATGATGAAGAAATTGAAAATACACATATCGAAAGTATTATACCAGGTATATATATATTTACTCCTAGAGTTGACAGCATAATGTTATTTTACATTCTAAGTGTGTGTGTGTTTGTATCTGTATCTGTATCCGACCATATACACTGTACGTCTAAGACGACCACTACTGGTATAAGAAAGACGGAAAGAAGAGAGTGCATGGGAAACTTAGTCACTGTGTAGGCCTGATCTTAAGGCTACCACTGTTTCAACATTAACTTGTTGATCACTCAGTCCATTCCAATCGGAAACTGTTCTGACGAAGAAAGAGTTTTTTCTGACAGGTGTGTTGCAGGGTTGTAAGCGGTAACAGCGACTGTTGTTAGAACTATTTACAATATTTTCAGAATTAAAGTCAGTGAATGATTCAGCCCTTATGCGACGTTTGTTGGAAGCTGGTACTAAGTAAGTGTCAGGAGGTATCGCAGGTACCATAAGTTGTTTATGTGAGTTGACCATTTCAGGTCAGAAGAAAGCATGACTCCTAAGTATGGGTTAGTCTGGACATTTTTAAGTACCGTGTTATCCAGTTGGTACAAGAATGAAGATTTCTGGCGGACACTAAGAATGTAACATTTGGTAGCATTGAATCACATGCCCCATTTCGTGACCCAAGTTTTCTAGGCCTACGAGGTCTTGTTGATGAGTTATGTGGTCTTTTTCAAAGATATTACAGTCTGTGCCAAAAAACTCTTAGACTACTAGTCCTTCGGGCTAGCAGACTCTCAAACTTTACCAGCCCGAACCAAAAAACACTAGCCCAATTTAAATAATCATTTAAAAAGTTTAAGCAGATGTTGTAAAGAGTTGTGGTACCACACTGTACTTTCTTGTAAACCTTATCATAGAAGTAGAGCAAGTGAATAACAAAGTCAATCAGGTTAATTTCCAGTTGATGGGGTGGTAAAATGAATTAAAAATATATTTAATTCTTTTAATATTGAAAAAATTCTTTTTTTTTAATTTGTAATACTGAATATAGTTACCCTTACTTTTCATATTTTTATATCTTTTTTTCCATTTTTTATACGCAATCAAAATCTTTTTTGTAATTCTTATTCTTTTTATTGACAATGGCTCTTTTCTGACAATTTATTTCCAATTACATCGGTATATAATGCCAATTCTAATTTAAAATACATAGGTGCTGTAAGGGTAATTAAACAAATGTCTTACAATTTTTTTGGTTACAATTCTTTTGGTTATATATTTGTAAAAACAACTTTTCAAGGACTTTACCAGGACAAAGCGTGGAGGGATAGCCATGGCATAAACCGAACTATCCCACATCGTCAAGAATAGTTCATAGGGTATTTATGTAACTGCCAGGGTCTTATTGTTTTTAAAAGGCAATAAGCAAAGGAAAATCTATTTACTCATGGATATTAAAATTATAAATAAAAAAGATAAACAAAAAAGGAAACAGAATACTCCACCCCTCAGTCTGCTAAGTGGTCCTAACCAAAATGTTCTATGAGATAACACTTGCTTCGGAGACGGTGTTGTTTTGACAAAACCTGTTGCTAGTACTAAGGAATTCTGGTCTGATCCAGTTTCTTGATTGACAGCAATTTGTAGTCATGACAACAAACTGGTCAAATAAAAAGATGCCCACACGCTGATCAGACAGACTGCTGCTATAAATAACTACAGTGAAGTTATTTATAGCAACTAATCAATATTCAGTAGTTAGAGCTAGGTGTGAGTTTTTTACAACTGAGAAGCATGTCATACTATCTAGAAACGTCAAATTAGAGGCAGGGACAAAGAAGACTGGCGACTTATATTTTTGAAATCTTACTGAGTGTTAAAATAGGTTCAAAATTACAACTAGCCCATTCGGGCTAGTGCTTTATAAAATTTCAACTTTTTTACTAGCCCGGTGCCACTTTAAGTAGGCAATTGCCTCGGGCTAGTGCTTAACGTCGCAGACTGATATTATACATGTAGTAGGGAATCAACAGCGAAGAGGGGTACTTTGGATTTACAGAGTCTGATAGATCATTAATATGGCAAAGGAAGATAAGAGGGCCTAGTACTGTCCCTTGTGATACTCCAGACGCGACATTCACTTCTCTTGTACTCTCACCTTCAACAACTACCTTCATTTGACGATTACACAAGAAAGATGCAATCCACCGATGTATTTTGCCTCGTATCCCATAAACGTGTAACTTTTGGAGTAGTTTGTTATGCGGTACCGTATCGAATGCCTTAGAAAAATCTAGTATATTGTGATGTCTGTCTGTGTTCCAAGATCAAAGCTAGATGTGAGGTCGACCAATGTCACTGCTAGCTGTGTTTCACACGAATATCCTGGACGAAAGCCATGATTTAGAGAAGCCAAGATATTGTTTTGTTCAAAGTATTGCAACATATGGTGACATACATTATGTTCTAATAGTTTACTAAGCATGGATGTCAAAGATACTGGGCGATAATACAGGTAGATGACAATCATCCTTCTTGAAGATTGGTGCTATGTTTGCATTAATCCAGTCACTAGGTAGGCTACCAGTATCGATTGACTTTTGGAAAAGTAGTGTGAACAGTGATACTTGGGGCGAGGACGATTGCACATTCTTTCAAGACACAGTTAGGAATAGAATCAGGCCCTGGTGCCTTAGTAGTTTGGATGTTTTTAAGTAATTTTAAGACACCCTCCTCAGTGATGGTGATATCAGAAAATTTTGAAACACAAGATCTATATACCGATGGCATGTTAGTGGATGAATCCCAGGTGAACACCGAACTGAACTGGTTGACTAGAATGTCAGCTTTCGGTTTACCATCACTGAATAGTTAACCTTTCTTTTTGGGTATCGAAACCCCGACATTAGCCTGTTTTTTAGATTTGGCATATCTCCAAAATGGCTTAGAGTTGTTGTTTGCTAACACACACACACACACACACACACACACACACACACACACACACACACACATTTGTTTGCACAGCCTGTTACCTCCAATATGTACATGGCTGAAAAACTGGATTACTGTCAAGGGCAAAGAGCTGTGGACCCTTATACCTTTGGTCAGCTTGTAAGGCCAAAAACAGAGGCAATTCATACCTAATTTAACAGTTCATTCTTAATAGAACTGACGCCCCCTTTCCAAAAAACTGTTTATGTCAATGCTTCACATGAAGTCAAAATAATAAGCCTTGAACATTTCTTATAACATTTTTTTACATAAACTTGTGTAATGTTAGAATGATTATCAGGTGCCAACAGGGGTCAGTGGGAAGCACTCATTTTTTCTCTTATTTTTCTTCATTACATCCTATTCGCACACTTTTGAACAGTGCAGAAGTCTTATAGGTGATTAAGAGAAAGTATGCACACTCATAATCACAATATAGCCCAGATAATCCACTAGACACATCCCAGCATTTATCAATTCCACCATCAAAAACACTGTTTTAAACAATCACGTGACTAGTCTGACTAAAGCAAGGTCTGCTAAGCAAATACAGATGCTTTAAGTAGGCATGCTACCACAGAGACAGAGAATGTGGACTAAATGTTGTACAGGTCTGCAATCTGAACATAAATCTACTGGCACACTTCATTACATTTTTTCTGAAGCGGTATTAGCGGCTCAGTATTTTGGGTTAGAATATCAATATTTTTCCCCTTACCTTTTAACTAATGACCCTGTACATTGCTCCAGTGAGTGATATTGGCCACCAAAAATATGTTGTCTCATTGTTACAGTTTTCCTTGGATAATCTGCTCTACCCTGTCTTTTAAATGTTCCCTATGGTGTCTTAAAGGAATGGGGAAAGTGATTGCAGGCAAAGTTATAGTTTTTGGGGAGACAATTTAAGACTAAGTTAAGTCAAATCCATCAATCTATTACCAAGACTACATATAATGATGAATGGATATGTAAAGTTCATAGATATTTTAGGCACATAATTACCACATGCTTATGGCTTTTTAAATGTTTCCAGGTATGCAGAGCATCTACCTCAAGACATGGGGATGTTCTCATAACAATTCTGACAGTGAGTACATGGCAGGGCAACTGGCAGCTTTTGGATACAATATCACAGGTATGTAACAGTAAATGTTTTGTTATGTTTGACAGAAGGTAGATTATGAAACAAAATGACAGCCACTGTATATTTACTTCAAAGCATGTGCTAAGTTAAAGTCCTGTACATGTAAGTCTACAAGTTCATAGTGTGCTGTCATGCTGCTCGTCTTGCAGTAAAAGTCATGTAGGTGAGTTTGTTTTTGCTGTCGAGTTACCATCCCTGTATGAGTGTTGGCAAGATCACCTTTATTTTCATATTTCCATTAAAATATGTTTTAAATTAATGACACAGTCATACTTTTTTTGTCTATTTTCACTATTTTATTGCTATTACTCAATTTTGATTTTTTGTCTATTTTCACACTATATATTGATTGATTGATTGCAACATTTTTCTCTATTTACAGACAAAAAAGAGGAGGCAGATTTGTGGATATTAAACAGCTGCACTGTGAAAAACCCTGCTGAAGACCATTTTAGAAATGAAATAAAGAAGGCAAGAGATCTCCAGAAACACTTAGTGGTAGCCGGCTGTGTGCCCCAGGGACAACCCAGAGCAGACTATCTACAAGTGGGTATTGGTAAATAGACTCTCTAACATAATGGAAACTTACTTTTGTTTCATTGGTCATAATGTTGTAGTCAAGACCATAATGTTTTTATGTTAGTGAAAAATATTTTAATTTATTTTAAAAATAAATTCCACAGTTTGAAAATTTTCTTTTTGTATCCAAAATGGAGGAATTACTAGTAATGTTGAGCAAGTGATAAATATTTTAATTGATAGTTTTAAACTAGGACTAGGGGTGTTTTGTGTGGATAATGTATGGAAGAAATCTGCTGTCTTGTCATGAGTATGTAGTTCAAAGGCATCCTATAAAGACTTATCACACCAAACCTAATTTTCACCAAGAAAGTTTGAATTTTCTCATATTCCACATTCTGTCCCTGTCCTTTGATTTGGTTGTTTTGTACCTTTTCTGCAAAGATTACTTTGTTCCGACTGGTTCCTAATAAATCATGATTTATTTAGATGCCATGTTTCCCTGACATTTCAAAAGGAAATATCGACATTAGGTACTTTTATTTTGAGTGGTCTTATTATTTAGAAGGTTTTGTTGGAAAAGAAAAGTAGCTTTGCAGGATATCTGCACAAAAAAATTATACTTTGGGACAATGTCAAAAGCAAATGGCACACCTTAAATATTTATGTGGTCTGTATTAGAATGTGGACTAAATGTTGTACAGGTCTGCAATCTGAACACAAATCTACTGGAACACTACATTACTTTCTTCTGAAGTTGTATTAGTTGTATAAAGCATTATGTACACATTTCTTCAGGGCCTAAGTGTTATTGGTGTGCAACAGATAGATAGAGTGGTGGAGGTAGTGGAAGAAACCATCAAAGGTGAGAACACCCAACCAATGTAGATTTTTTATGTTATGTTTAAGTTACTAGCTTACATATTTTTACTACTTCATTAATTAATTTGTAATTTTAAAGAATAATGTTATGTAAAAGAAGGCACTGGTCAGTAAATATATTGCTAGCATATTCAGCTATTCAATGTACCTTTGAATGAAATTGGGAATTATTTATAGATTGAGTGTTACATGTTCATGTTATGTTCCATTTGTTGTTTGGCCCAGGTCACTCAGTACGTTTATTTGGTCAAAAGAAGCAGGAGGGGAAAAAGACTGGAGGTGCTGATCTGAGCTTACCCAAGATAAGAAAGAACCCATTAATAGAGATTATAGCCATTAACACAGGGTAAAAAGTCCTTTGTATTCTGCTGTTATGTCATACTGTCTGTATATCTGAAGCATACCTAGCATTGTTACTATCTGCTCACCTTTCATGGCAGCTCGCAATGTCTGTATTATACATGGGACACAACTATCAATCAAATTCTTATTGTAAAACATTTGATAGATTGATAAAGTTGATAGAATGATACTTTGAACATTTGATAGGTTGATTATTTTGTAAAACATTTGATAGAAAGAGAAAGTGGTAATTTTATCATGGTAAGCCATTTGCCATTTTTCAATAATTGCCTCTGTAGCTTACATGTGTAAAAAAAGCTGATTATTATAGGTGTCTGAATGCTTGCACTTACTGCAAAACAAAGCATGCAAGAGGAGAACTAGGAAGTTATTCAATAGAAGACATTGTAGCCAGGGCCAAACAGTCTTTTGAAGGTAAAACCCAAACACACCCTAGCAATATTTCATGGCCTTTCAGTGGTACTAGAGTATCACAGCTCCACTGCAGCCTCATTAGCACGGCCGTGTGCCATTTAGAAGCCATTGTGTCATTTTGAGATATCAGATCTTGTTTAGTAGTAATTGTTCTACTGTATAAGTACAACACAAGTGATTTTTTTCTCGTTGTTGTGATTTGACATTGGGTAAATGTTGGTATGAGTTTGTTATTTACAAATCAGTTCCAATTGTTTATAAAATTGGACCACAGCTCAGTTGTTGTGCATTTCCTTATAAAGTTGTGTATATGTATTGTGCAATTCAGAGGGGGTAGTAGAAATCTGGCTGACATCTGAGGACTTGGGTGCCTATGGTATAGACATTGGAGTCACATTACCTGAACTGCTGTGGAGACTTGTTGACACAATACCAGAGGGTGCCAGGATGAGACTTGGCATGACAAACCCACCATATATCTTGCAGCATCTAGAAGTAAGTTCTACTTATGACGTGACAAGCTACATTTATGTTTTTCAAGGCATAAGAATTAAAGCACTGAAACATTAATAGTAGTATTATTGTATAAAAAATGTTCAATTGTCTAGTTGGAGAAACATACCATTTATGTTAAATATTGTTTTTCTGGGGACACTGAAAAGCTGTTAGAATTCAGTTATTTGCTTTGACTGTATAAAATATTTTTGTAATATCAAAGTAAATTGATGGTTTCCTACATTTTTGAACAGCAATATTTTCCTGAGATTGCTTATTACATGCAATATTGTATACAACTGACAATTGTTTCCCTAATAAAATGTCATACATATTAAGTGACCATTTTGTCGCTTCAAAAACTTCGAAATGAAATATAAGATTGAATATTTCTATATTAATAAAATTGTTATAGGAAATGGCAAAGATCCTGAACCATCCCAGGGTATATTCCTTCCTGCATGTTCCTGTTCAGTCAGCCTCAGACAGTGTACTCATGGATATGAGAAGAGAATACTGTGTAGATGACTTTAAACATGTGGTCAATTTTCTCAAAGAAAGGTTTGCCATAAATCTTCTTTCCTTTCGATAAAAATATGGGACAAAGTGGGATAAAGAGCTTCTCAGGAGGAACTTCTATTTTTGAAGACAGAATACTTACTCTTTGGCCCTTGATTTGAGTTTATATATTTGTTCAATATGTCAAATTGATATAGTGTTTTTGGGGACATGAATTGTGGCAAATGCATTTGACAAGCTAGGCTAAGGTTCACTGTAAGAAAAAGTTTTTATTGGTGATGTATGAATGGTGTCATCTGTGGTTGGTGAAGCCCACCATTTATCTTCGTTGTAATTCTATTAGATGTTTTCTGTATATAAATGAGTATGAAGCTTCAATGTATAAAAATGAAAATGAGTTATTTATTTGCCTTTCAGAGTACCTAGAGTCACAATTGCAACAGATCTTATATGTGGTTTTCCAACTGAAACAGAACAGGTAAAAAAGGCCAGAATTGTTGAAGTTCAATTGGAAGTTGGATGGTAATCCTAATGCTGTCTTTTGGTCACAGGTTTTCATCATATTTGACAATGGAACAAAGCATTGTTTTAAATCTCTAAAAATGCTGTTGAAGTTTATTGCAGACAATTAATTAAAATTTTTCTGAAACTATATCTTATGTTATTAATAAATCTCAGCTGCTAAAATATAATCTTTAGTATTGTCATTTTAGGACTTTGAAGAGACTATGAAGTTAGTTGAAGAATTCAAGTTTCCCAGTTTATTCATCAACCAGTTTTTCCCCAGACCAGGCACCCCAGCAGCCAGGATGCCTAGGATACATCCACAGGAGGTAAATTATAGACTGCACAGGATAGCTTGGAAGTGAAAATTATCTGGAGTAGTTTGATTTGTTGTATTTTATAGCAGTATGATCGTGTGTCAGCACAATGTGTTATTTTCTTCTAAGGTTTTCATGTTCTTCAAATTCTTACATTGTGAGGAAATATTTACCTTTTTTTTTCTTATGAAAAATTGCGACATTGATATCCAAATCTTACTGAAAATGCTCCTTTTCTATTGAAATATTTTGATTCTTGTTACAGGTGAAAAAGAGAACTAAGAGAGTTTCAGAACTGTTTCAGTCATATAGGCCATATGATCATAAGGTAATTTTTTCACATTTTGGGCTTTGCTGCAGTAACAGTAAAATCTACTTTGTATTTTCTCTTCAAGGGTTATAGACTTATCCTTGCAAGAATTCTATGCAAACTGAAGTGCATATTTTATGCTGGTTTTCACAGAATGCATAGCGCAAACTCCCTGTGTGGTCAGTAAAAACGTCTGATTCAAAGTATTGAACAAGTTTACTTGCTTGTTTACTTTGCATATAATGATGCATGTAATGTCTTAGCGCTATGTAGGATTTCAATTTCATTTGTCTTATAACACAGTTTTATCCTTTTAAAATCTGTATCCCTATTTTCTTCACATTTGCACAAATACAATTAAATGATGTCATGATGCACTTCCCGTTTTCGTCAAGATCTTGAAGGCCTTAGTTTTGTGGTTTGCACCAAATTTGAAGTGTTCTATACTAAAATCTAAAAATCAGTTTTTCTAATACAATACCCTGTTCAAATTTGAAAATAAAGCCTTTTTGGTTGATTTCTTGAATGGTGGTATAATTTTTTTTCTGCATTTGTAACTCTTAATTGTTATATTCTTTAATCACATACTGTATCAGTACCCCCAGGTTTTATGGAAAAGATGCTTTTTGTGAGATGACATTTTGAAATGAAATAGGTGTAAATAATTTTGGATAGAGTTTTTTTAAAAATATTTTCATTACTGTCATTTTAGTTGGGTGAGATTCAGACTGTCCTTGTGACTGAGGTATCGCATGACAAGCAGTACTATGTTGGACATAACAAGTGCTACGATCAGGTATTAACCTCATGCAGTTAACAGCAAATTGAAGGGATACTGAAGTTCATTTTATCATTGCCAGTGTGTTTAATGTGATGCCATTTTTGTTTTAATAAGAATATATATTTGGGCTATATAACTATGTGTCAAGACTTCTTTACTCATGAGGTTTCACATACTTCAGTGTAGGCACTTTATTAAGTTTGTTCTACGAACATTAGCAGCTTTGATAAAAATTTAAGGTTAAAATTGTTGGAAGTATTGACGTGAAGACAAGTAATTTTTTACCCACTTTGATTGATTCCATTTTTACTTGATTCTTTTCTCAGGTTCTTGTCCCTAAAGAAGAACATTTACTAGGAAAGTTGGTGGAAGTGAAAATAAAAGAGACTGGAAAGCATTACTTAATTGGTGAGCTCCTTAAGACCCAGGCTGTAAGACCAGAGGGTGTGCCCCCACCTTTGAGACAGGGTGCAGTCTCGGGCCTACAAGAAGAGAAGGTACTAGTGCTGACACCTTTACAGCAACAGTTGGTTGACTCCACTCCCATCCTAGGAAAAATGTAATGACCATCGATGCATGCTCATATAAATTTGCAGATGATATATAGTGAAGTTACTGTAACTGACTTTTAGTTTTTTTGAAGTTGGGAAAGTTGTAAGGAAAGTTTAGTGGTTGATTTTATTTAACTTGATACTCAATGCTGTTAATTCTGAGTATTTATATCTCTGATGTCTTTCTGCCTTATCTTTTAAGGTGTCCAGCTCTGGTCACTGGACGTCCAAATGGTCCACTGCTGCAGTAGTGATTCTGGTGTGTGCAATATTGATAAGACTTGCTATGAAATTAATGCCCACAATGAGGTAGCAAATATGAAAATGTGGACTGCTACAGAAGCTCACAGGATGTGGTGATGACCAATTGCTAATTTGAAATGAAGTTTGGAAGGAGTGTTAGTGTGTGGTACAACTGTGTCTTATGCATATGTTACTGATACATATATGACACTTCTTCAAACACAGATTTAATCAGCAGTTTTCATATTTATGCATGATTTACTCAAAATGGCTGGTTGGATGTATTTTAGGATAAAAATGACCCACAAACATTAAATCTACGTCAAAGAAAAGTTCTTGCATACAAGTCATTTTTAAATAACATGTAAATTTTATCACAAGCACTTTTTTTAAAAATCAAAACAGCATATTATTAATTATACTTGTGGCAAAAATAAATCAATGAACTTAACAAATATGGTCTACACTCTTTATTTAGATAAGAAAAATACATATAGATTTGAAAATACAAATCGGTCTGAAAAGTTCGATATACAGATTAATGATTTTCAAACACCATGTACCAGTTTCTATTAATACAATAGATGGTGAAGTTTTCAGTTTAAAACCTTTAAA